TTATTTTCTCATAGGTTTTAACGCGTGAATCAAAGTTGGCCTGTAAAGTTGCTTCATTCCATAAATGTCTAGTTGTGAATATGTCTTTCTGAATTGATTTACCATACAAGGAATTACCTAATAATTTCATGCAATTACTACCCACGATATTACCTTCTCGTTTATATTTATTTCTTAAATCTCTCAAAATTAAAATATAATCTCTATAGGGTGGAGTTTTAAAATTTTCTTCGTAAACTATACCATCTAATATTCTAATAATTCGTCCACCGGCTTTCACTATTTCTTGAATATCGACCGATGTTAAAACGTCGTGACAGAAACCATTTCTGAACCTGATTTTGTTACCAGTTTCCTTTTTACCTTCTTTATTCGTGAAAGTGATTTTATCTTTAGCTGGTATCGGTTGGAAGAACATGTTTTTGGGATAGTCAAACCACACTGTTAAAATAGCTGTTCTAGGTCTGAATTTTTATTTATTGAAGAGTTTTACAAATTCTTTTTCTTCTTCTGGTAGAAACGGTCTTCCACTTTCCGCTCTCGGATATTCACTGTCTAAATCCGACATGGCGGAAGCGTATAAATCGTTAGCATCAAATGCCATTAGTTTAGTACATTCTATTTTTTTTAAGTCTCGAATGAACCTCCGTTTTGTCTTTTGTGCTTGCGCTGTATTCTTTGAGTAAATCAATTATGTTATTACTTTCACTTTGTGAAATATATTCCTTTAATACGTTACAAATTTCATCCATTTTGTTCGTTTCAAATGATTTTCTATTTGCCGAAACTCTTCCTCCTTTAATAGATCGTCTGATAAAATTTCTTATAAAAGGATTAGTGTGCGTATAAACTTTTTCTATATTTTCTTTTTCGGTATGTTTCGCAACCATTCTAGTAGTTTCATAACATTCTTCTTCCACCATTTCTTTTTCGTAATGATATAAATAATACCAACCCTTTAAAGATAAAGATGGAGCCGTTAGATTATTGGACATATTCTGGTTTACAACTTCTTTCGTGACTTGGTTGTATTTTATCAAACAAGCTCCCAAACAGAGAGTGTCTCTCTTGGCGTAAGGTTCCCATTCGTGTCTCAATTCCTCCCAGTTGTCTTGCGTGTATTTAGCGATATCTACGTCGGCAATCTTTCTCAAATTCGCGGGAAGATTGGAAGAATTTCCCCATGCAGCCAAACTAGAGGATTCGTGTTGATAGGAACACGTGAAATTAATATGTTGTAAATAATTACCCTTTATTTCTTTCTGTCTTTTCCATTTTTTCTGTAAATCTTCATCTGGATTAGATAAAGGAAAAGATAGAATTCCTCTGGGTGTTTTTAAAGGGCAATGCGTTAGTTTTTTTGCATTTTTAAGCACGATCCAGTTGTCGAATCCACTACCGTTATGAGAAATTAATATTAATCTCTTCCTATCATATTGACCTAAATATTTCAACATTTGATCGATGCAATCTGTACCTACAAATATTTCTACTACATTCATTAGTTTATCATAAAATTCTTCTGGAACATTATCAGTAGGA